TCTTCAAAAGGTGATTCTGGCAAAAATGGTAGGAGATATTCAAGAAATGAGGCTGAAAGTTACTTCTAGAGGTCGAAATCTACAAGAAAATGTATTTAGGTAATTTTCCATAATGGTCGAAAATGGGTCGAAATTTACATAAGAATGTAATGAATTTTCATGTTCTGGAAAATTGGGATTTCGAAAAAAAAAACACAAAAAATTCTGGGATATGGTTCTCGATGTTCTCTTTCGAAAAATATAGCCCGTTTATGATTTCCTATCACGATTTTTGAAATATTCGTCTTCAAATTCAAATTTAAAAAAATATCCAAAAATTTCCATTTTTCAATAGGCAATTCTGAACAAATGGTAGAAGGTATCGAAATTATAATTATACAAAAAATCCCAAAATTATTCTTCAAAAGGCGATTTTGGAAAAATGGTATGAGATTTTCAAGAAATGAGGCTGAAAGTTACTTCCAGAGGTCAAAATCTAGAAGAAAATGTATTTAGGTAATTTTCCAAAATGGTCGAAAACGGGTCGAAATTTTCATAAGTATGTAATGGATTTTCATGAATTGGAAAATTAGGATTTCGAAAAATTGTATAAAAATTTTCAAAAAATTTTGGGACATGTTTCTCGATGTAGGTACTCGTTCGAAAAATTTAGCCAGTGTATGATTTCGGATCACGATTTTTGAAATATTCGGCTTCAACTTCAAATTAAAAAAAATATACAAAAATTTTCATTTTTCAATAGGCAATTCTGAAAAAATGGTAGAAGGTATCGAAATTAGAATTTTTCAAAAAATCCCAAAATTCTTCCTAAAAAGGCGATTTTGGAAAAATGGTATTAGATATTGAAGAAATGAGGCTGAAAGTTACTTCTAGAGGTCGAAATCTACAAGAAAATGTATTTAGGTAATTTTCCAAAGTGGTCGAAATTGAGTCGAAGTTTTCGTAAGGATGTAATGGATTTTCATGTATTGGAAAATTAAAATTTCGAAAAAGTTGTATAAAAATTCATAAAAAATTCTGGGATATGGTTCTCGATGTACTCTTTTGGAAATTATAGCCCGTTTATGATTTCGGATCACGATTTTTGAAATATTCGGCTTCACATTCAAATTTAAAAAAATATCCAAAAATTTCCATTTTTCGATAGGCAATTCTGCAAAAATGGTAGAAGGTATGGAAATTAGAATTTTTCAAAAAATCCCAAAATTATTCTCCAAAACCCGATTTTGGAAAAACGGTAGGAGAAATTCAAGAAATGAGGCTGAAAGTTACTTCTAGAGGTCGAAATCTACAAGAAAATATATTTAGGTAATTTTCCAAAATGGTCGAAAATGGGTCGAAATTTACATAAGAATGTAATGAATTTTCATGTATTGGAAAATTGGGATTTCGAAAAAATTGTAAAAAAAATCACAAAAAATTCTGAAATGTGGTTCTCGATGTACTCTTTCGAAAATTATAGCCCGTTTATGATTTCGGATCACGATTTTTGAAATATTCGGCTTCACATTCAAATTTAAAAAAATATCCAAAAATTTCCATTTTTCGATAGGCAATTCTGCAAAAATGGTAGAAGGTATGGAAATTAGAATTTTTCAAAAAATCCCAAAATTATTCTCCAAAACCCGATTTTGGAAAAACGGTAGGAGAAATTCAAGAAATGAGGCTGAAAGTTACTTCTAGAGGTTGAAATCTTCAAGAAAATGTATTTAGGTAATTTTCCAAAATGATCGAAAATGGGCTGAAATTTCCATAAGGATGTAATGGATTTTCATGTATTGGGAAACTAAGATTTCGAAAAAGTTGGATAAAAAATCACAGAAGATTCTGTGATATGGTTCTCGATGTACTCTTTCGAAAAATATAGCCTGTTTATGATTTCAGATTCCGATTTTTGAAATATTCGGCTTCAAATTCAAATTAAAAAAAAAAATCCAAAAATTTCCATTTTTCAATAGGCAGTTCTGAAAAAATGGTAGAAGGTATCGAAATTAGAATTTTTCAAAAAATTCCAAAATTATTCTTCAAAAGGCGATTTTGGAAAAATGGTAGGAGATATTCAAGAAATGAGGCTGAAAGTTACTTCTAGAGGTCGAAATCTACAAGAAAATGTGTTTAGGTAATTTTCCAAAATGGTCGAAAATGGATCGAAATTTTCTTAAGGATTTATGGATTTTCATGTACTGGAAAATTAAAATTTCGAAAAAGTTGTATAAAAAGTCACAACAAATTCTGGGATATGGTTCTCGATGTAGTCTTTCGAAAAATATAGCTCGTTTATGATTTCGGATCACGATTTTTGAAATATTCGGTCTCAAATTCAAATTAAAAAAATCCAAAAATTTCCATTTTTCAATAGGCAATTGTGAAAAAATGGTAGGTTTCGAAATATACGGATCGAAATTAAAATTTTTCAAAAAATCGCAAAATTATCATTCTTCAAAGGGCGCTTTTGTAAAAATGGTAGGAGATATTCAAGAAATGAAGCTGGAAGTTAGTTCTAGAGGTCGAAATCTACAAGAAAATGTATTTAGGTATTTTTCCAAAGTTGTCTAAAATGGGTCGAAATTTACATAAGTATGTAATGAATTTTCATGTATTGGAAAATTGGGATGTCGAAAAAATTGTAAAAAAAATCACAAAAAATTCTGGGATATGATTCTCAATGTACTCTTTCGAAAAATATAGCCCGTTTATGATTTCGGATCACGATTTTTCTAAATATTCGGCTTCAAATTCAAATTAAAAAAAAAACAAATCCAAAAATTTCCGTTTTTCAATAGGCAATTCTGAAAAAATGGTAGAAGGTATCGAAATTAGAATTTTTCAAAAAATCCCAAAATGATCATTCTTCAAACGGCGATTTTGGAAAAATGGTAGGAGGCATTCAAGAAATGAGGCTTAAAGTTACTTCTAGCGGTTGAAATCTACAACCAAACGTATTTAGGTAATTTTACAAAATGGTCAAAAATGGGTCGAAATTTTCATAAGAATGTAGTGGATTTTCATGTATTGGAAAATTTAGATTTCGAGAAAGTTGTATAAAAATTCACAAAAAATTCTGGGATATGGTTCTCGATATAGTCTTTTGAAAAATATATGCCGTTTATGATTTCGGATCACGATTTTTCAAACATTCGGCTTCAAATTCAAATTAAAAAAAAATATCCAAAAATTTCCATTTTTCAACAGGCAATTCTGAAAAAATGGTATGTAAAATGTTTCGAAATATACGGATTGAAATTAAAATTTTTCAAAAAATCTCAAAAGCAGATATTCAAAAAATGAGGCTGAAAGTTGCTTCTAGAGTCGAAATCTACGAGAAAATGAATTTAGGTAATTTTCCAAAATGGTCGAAAATGGGTCGAAATTTTCACAAGGATGTAATGGATTTTCATGTATTGGAAAATTAAGTTTTCGAAAAAATTGTATAAAAATTCACAAAATATTCTGGGATATGATGTACTCTTTCGAAAAATGTAGCCCGTTTATGATTTCGGATCACGATTTTTGAAATATTCGGCTTCAAATTCAAATTAAAAGAAAAATCCAAAAATTTCCATTTTTCAATAATTCTGAAAAAATGGTAGGTTTCGAAATATATGGATGGAAATTGAAATTTTTCAAAAAAACCGAATATTATCATTCTTCAAAAGGCGATTTTGGAAAAATGGTAAGAGATATTCAAAAAATGAGGCTGAAAGTTACTTTTAGAGGTCGAAATCTACAAGAAAATGAATTTAGGTAATTTTCCAAAATGGTCGAAAATGGGTCGAAATTTTCATAAAGATATAATGGGTTTTCATGTATTGGAAAATTAAGATTTCGAAAAAGTTGTATAAAAAAATTCACAAAAAAATCTTGGATGTGGTTCTCGATGTACTCTTTCGAAAAATATATCTCCTTTATGATTTCGAATCACGATTTTTGAAATATTCGGCTTCTAATTAAAATTAAAAAAAATATATAATTTTGGAAAAATGGTAGGAGATACAAGAAATGACGCTGAAAGTTACTTCTAGAGGTCGAAATGTACAAGAAAATGAATTTAGGTAATTTTCCAAAATGGTCGAAAATGGGTCGAAATTTACATAAAAATGTAATAAATTTTAATGTATTGGAAAATTGGGATTTCGAAAAAATTGTAAAAAAATCACAAAAAATTCTTGGATGTGGTTCTCGATGTACTCTTTCGAAAAATATAGTCCATTTATGATTTCAAATTAAAAACCAATCCAAAAATTTACATTTTTCAATTGGTGATTCTGAAAAAATGGTAGAAGAGAAATGAAGAATTGAGAATTGAGAACGGAATGGATATAAGTGGAGTTTAAATCTTTTCTTTTAACAACACGATACTCAAAAACATATTTTTAATTTCTCGTAGAGAAATAAGGATTTTGCAGTTAAGCTCCGTCCCCTTGGCTCACGACGAATAAAAATGTCATTACAATTGCGAAAGGGCGGGTGGGCGGGGCTTATATTTTGTTTTTTTTTTCTTAAAATGTGTAGACTTATAAGATATAATCAAAATTATTTGCTGAGACATTGTTGTAAAATTCAACACATTTAGAACGCAACCCTGAATACAGAATTACATTTAAATTTAACAGGAACAAAAATATCTGTAGAATTTTAACGAAGATTAGGATCGCTGATCGTGTAAAACAATAAAAATGTAAATCTCAAAGAAAACCAGACGCTGACACAGGAATAATAACTCATTGTTCCTTTGAAGTCCCCCTGTACACATCAAAGTTTCGCCGATTCCCGTCTCGTCTGGCACGTCAAGAATGAGCGGAATCACAGCCGAACACAACGCCACCTGAAAAAACCCACCTGTTGGAGGGTGTATTCCAGTGACGTCAGAGGGTAATTCAGCTATCACGTTTACGAGGTGGAAGCTGCTGGTCGCTATAGATACCCGCTAAAAGCTCTGGGAGGGGAAGCAAACAGAAAATCCACAATCCACCGCAGTTCATATCTTGCCGTGGAGCCGCGTCGACACTCCGCCACGCAAAATATCGCGAATTGAACACGTGTTCGTGGTGTTTAACCGAACACTGCCAACCAGTCGATGCTCTCCAAGCCGAGACGAACTCCAAATTCGGATTTAAATCGACACAAACGATATTAACACCAGTGAGAATTATTAAGTAATACGCAAGTAGATGTGATACGCGATTTAATAATAATAACAATTATAATAATACTAACAATAACAACAATAAGTCGCCTAGGATATTAATTATTTAAGCTTCATTGTGATCCTGACGAAGTTCCAAAGGTTGTGAAGCACCGGATTAAATCATTTCTCCCGGACTAATTAAGCTCTAATTGTACCCCAAATCGGCAATAATTCACCACCACCCAAGTGATGTCATGTTGTGAGGATCCGGCCTGTTCCCATGCTCTGGTTGCGGCGGCGACGAAGGAGGCCGTGCGTTTATCCGACAAGGAAAGGGAAATTATCCTGGGAGTCCTTGGCCGCGACGAGCAGCTGAGAAGAGACCAGCGTCTGAGGATTATGTAAGTCGAATCCTGCCGACTTCGATTGGGTTACTGCACACTGGAACTAATAAGTTTCCATTAGCCTGATTGATGAAGAAGCAGGAAGTGTCGCAAATTATAAACGTGATCAGAAGTATCGATTCTCGCTGCTTTTGATGAGACGTGATGGACGTGATTTCCTGATTCGCGTCCGCCAGAATTAATTAGACGCTTTTCCTGGAAATAGAGAAAATTCCGCGTGGAGCGCGTGGAATAAAAACGGAACTGATCAATTTTCGCATTATCTGGCTTCGGAATGATGCGAGCTGTGCAAATACGGGTTATCGGACGTGTAATTCCGGGGGATAAACACGCGGTGGCATTTATTGGGGTTTTCTGCATTTTTACAACAATATGTGAAATTATTCGTGGTGGGTTCGCAAGTGGTTTAATTATGATAATAACGCGACGATAAATATTAACAGAAAAAATATTGATGTTTATCTGTGTTGTGTGTGCAGCACGTTTTCCGGGAAATTTCGTGGGTCGTGGGTGAAAAGTTTGCCGTTTTCTTTTTATCGAGATAGTGCGGATATCGGGGATTAGTGGTGCATGCATATATTTGCTAAAAGCTTTTAAAGAAACTGGATAGTGGAGACATTTTATTTTATTTTTTTACGTTGTGGATGAGAATGTTGGGATTACTTAATACTTAATGTATTTAGTGAGCGAAAGTTATACAGTCGGAATCATATGTAAGGATTTGGACGGTGTTATTAAAATAAACATTTATTCAAAAACCTCGTCAATGTCACATGATTTTTCATGCGGATGACATATTACGGAAAATGGGATTTTTTAATTTTTCCGCTCCAGTTTTTTCAATTTCTCGGTTTTTTATTTTTAATCTCATGACTTTCAATTTCTCAATTTTTCGATATTTCAGTTTCATGGTTGGTCAACTTTTCCATTTTTCGATTGCTTGATTTCTTGATTAATTCAATTTTTCGACTTTTCACTTTCTCAATTTTTTTAATTGTCGATTGTTAGATTTTTCGATTTTTCAACTTCCCATTTCTCGATTTCTCGGCTTTTCAATGTTTCTATTTCCCAACGTTCCAATTTAGCGATTTTTCAATTTTTGAATTCTTCAATTTTTCGTTATTTCAATTCTTCAATTATTCGACTTTTAGATTTCTTCACATTTCAAGTTCCAGGCTTTTTTCAATTTTTCGACTATCATTTTTATATTTTTCCATTTGCGTTTCTAAATTTTCGATTTTTCAATTTCTCGATTAATGGATGATTCAATTTTTCGATTTCTGAATTTTTTGACCTTGGACGTTTAGATTTTTCAATTTTTTGATTTTCCCATTTCCAGATTTCTCTCTCAGCTTTTCAATGTTTCCATTTCCCGACGGCTGGGTTTCGCAATTTTTCAGTTTTTCAATTTTTGGATTTTCCAAATTGTCGATTTTTCGTTTTTTCAATTTTATCGATGTTCCTATTTTTCGATGTTTCAGTTTCACGTTTCTCCAGTTTTTGATTCCTCAATTTCTCGACATTTCAATTTTAATTTGTCGATTTTTCAATTTTTCGATTTTCAGTTTTTTGATTTTTCAATTTCTGTATTTTTGAATTCTCATTTTCTCAGTTTTTCAGTTTCTAATTTCTCGATTTTCAATTTTTCGAATTTTTATGTTTCGATTTGTCGATTTATCAACTTTTCGATTTTCAATTTTAGGATTTTTTAAATTTTAGATTTTTCTATTTTTTGATGTTTCGGTTTCTCGATCTCCCGATTTTTCGATTTTTAAAATTTTTGATTTTTTGATTTTTACATTTTTCGAATTTTTAGTTTTACGATTTTTCGCTCTCTGGATTTATCGACATTTCGATGTTTCAATTTTTCGATTGTTCAATATCACCATTTTCTCGATTTTTCAATTTTTTGAAATTTCGTTTTTTTCATTCCTCGACTTCTCCACTTTTCGATTTTTCAGTTTTTCATTTTTTGATTTTTATAATTATTCAAATTTTCGATTTTTTGATGTTTCGATTTTCTTATTTTTCTAAATTTTTTAATGTCAGTTGGGCGATTTTTCGATTTCTTGATGGTTTGATCTTCTAATTTTTCGATAATTCAGTTTCGGTCTTTCTTAGTTTTTTTGGTTCCTCAATCTCTCGATATTTTTTTTAATTTCTCGTTTTATCTATTTTTCGATTTTCCACTTTTTTGTTCTTCAATTTTTGTTATTCCTTAATTTTCGATTTTTCTTTTTTGATTTTCCCAATTCTCGATTTCTCGGCTTTTAGTGTTTCGATTTACTGACGTTCCGATTTCTCGATTTTTTAGTTTTTCAATCTTCAATTTTTCTACATTTATAGTTTTTTAAATTTACGGTTTTTCGAGTTTTCGATTTCTCGATCTTTCAGTTTCAGCATTTTTCCGTTTTTTGATTCTTCAATTAGTCTATTTTTTGATTCCCAGTTTCTCAATTTCACAATTTCTAATTTCACTTTCATTTTTTTTTGGTGCCTCAATTCCCAATATTGTTTTTATTTCTTGTTTTTTCAATTTTTCGATTTTCAATCTTTTTATTTTTCAATTTTTGTCGCTCCCAAATTTTCGATTTTTCTTTTTTGATTTTTCTATTTCTCAATTTCTGGGCTCTCAGTGTTTCGATTTACTGACATCTCGATTTCTCGATTTTTCAGTTTTTCATCATCAATTTTTCGATTTTTCTAGTTTTTCGCTTTTTAAATTTAAGTTTTTTCGACATTTCGATTTCAGTTTCAGGATTATTCAGTTTTTGATTCTTCAATTTCTCTATTTTTAGATTCTCAGTTACTCAATTTTTCAATTTCTAATTTCTAGATTTTCAACTTTTCGATATTTCAGATTTGGAATTTTTCAATATTTCGATTCTTAAATTTTTCGACTTTTGGTTTCTCCACTTTCGATTTTTCGAATTTTCAATATTTCGATTTCTCCATTTTTGATTTTCAATGTTTCGGCTTTATAAATTTTTAAATTTCTCGGTTTTAGATTTTTCGGATTTTCAATTTTTCTAATTTTAAAATTTTGATTTTTTAATTTTTCCAATTTTTAGCTTTTCGATTTTCCGATTTCTAGATTTATGGACATTTCGATTTTTCAATTTTTCGATTTATCAATTTTATGCTATTTTAATTTTTGGGTTTTTTGACTTCTCGAGTCTCCGATTTTTCGATTTCTCAGTCTTTTGATGTTTCGATATCTCGATATTTCAACTTTTCAATTTTTCCATGTTTAGATTTTTTCATTTCTCGGTTATTCAATTTTTCGACTCCTCGGCTATTCTATTTTTCAATTTTTCAGTTTTTCGTTTTTTAAACTTATATTTTTCGACTTTTCTGCTTCTCGATCTTTGAATTTTTCGATATTTCAGTTTCATGATTTTCCAGGTTTTGATTCTTGCTCGATTTTTGAATTCCCAGTTTCTATCAATTTTTTAGTTTTTAATTTTTCGTATTTCAGTTTTTCGATATTTCAGATTTCGAAGTTTCCAATATTTTCATTATAATTCTTAATTTTTCAACGCTTTAGATTTTCAATTTTTTCATGTTTCTGTTTCTCGATCTGCCTATTTTTCACTTCTCGGTTTTAGATTTTTCGGATTTTCGATTTTTCGATTTTTAAAATTTTTTTATTTTTCAATTTTTGTCACTCCTAAATTTTCGATTTTTCTTTTTTGATTTTCCTATTTCTCAATTTCTGGGCTTTTCAGTGTTTCGATTTACTGACATATCGATTTCCCGATTTTTCAGTTTTTCATCAATTTTTCGATTTTTCTAGTTTTTCAGTTTTTCGCTTTTTAAATTTACGTTTTTTCGACTTTTCGGTTCCTCGATCTTTCAATTTTTCGATATTTCAGTTTCGGCATTATGCAGTTTTTTGATTCTTCAATTTCTCTATTTTTAGATTTTCAGTTTGTCAATTTTTCAATTTATAATTTTTCGATTCTCAACTTTTCGATACTTCAGATTAGGAATTTTTCAATATTTCGATTCCTCAATTTTTCAATTTTCGGTTTCTCCTATTTGGATTTTTCGAATTTTCTGTATTTCCATTTCTCCATTTTTCAACTTTTTGATTTTCAATGCTTCGAATTTTTAAATTTAAAATTTTTAAATTTTTGGTTTTAGATTTTTCGGATTTTCAATTTTTCTATTTTTAAAATTTTGATTTTTAAATTTTTCCAATTTTTAGTTTTTCGATTTTTCGATTTCTAGATTTATGGACATTTCGATTTTTCAATTTTTCGATTTATCCATTTCGATTTTTCGGTTTTTTGATTTCCCGAGTTTTAGATTTTTCGATTTCTCAATCTTTTGATGTTTCGATGTCTCGATATTTCAATTTTTCGATGTTTAGATTTTTTCATTTCCCGGTTTTTCAATTTTCGACTCCTCGGCTATTCTATTTTCCAATTTTTCAGTTTTTAATTTTTTTAAATTTACGATTTTTCGACTTTTCTGGTTCTCGATCTTTCAATTTTTCGATATTTCAGTTTCATGATTTTCCAGTTTTTGATTCTTGTTCTATTTTTGAATTCGCAGTTTCTCAATTTTTCAATTTTTAATTTTCCAAATTTCAATTTTTCAATATTTCAGATTTCGAAGTTTCCAATATTTTAATTTTTCAATTTTTCGAATTTTCAGTGTTTCGATTTCCTAATTTTTCAACGTTTTGGATTTTCAATTTTCGAATTTTAAATCTTTGATTTTTCAATTTTTTGATGTTTTTGTTTCTCAATCTTCCGATTTTTCCACTTCTCGGTTTTAGATTTTTCGGACTCGATTTTTAAAAAGTTGATTTTTTTTTAAATTTTCCTTTTTAGTTTTTCGATTTTTCGATTTCCGAATTTATCGATTTTTTTATTTTTTGAGTTTTAAAATTTTTCGATTTGTTGATTCAATTTTTTAATTTTTCTACTTTTCGATTTTTAATTTTAGATTTTCGATTTCTTGATGTTTCACTGTTTGATCTTTCAATT